CCCTCCTCTCTCTCTCTCTCTCACACACACACACTCTCTCTCTCTCATAAACACATGCATTTTAAACAAGAATATGTGTGTTTTGATGGGACTGAATGTGTTACAGTTATGTGGCTCCTGAATATGCTATGACCGGGCATCTGCTTGTTAAGAGTGATGTATACAGCTATGGAGTTGTCCTCCTTGAATTGCTGACTGGGAGGAGACCAGTGGATATGACTCAACCTTCAGGGCAGGAGAATCTCGTTACAGGGGTTAGAATTTGGAACCTTTCTCCCTTGTATCTTTACCTATTCACGATTGGATTATTTGGATTCAGATGCAGACTTTCTCAACTTGAGTGGCCTAAATTTCTTACATTGCCTAAAAGTCTAGTGATCTACTCTTTATCAGGGAATTATATATGCCACAACTTGGTAACCATTCATTGAAAACTAATGTACCTTTGGGAATCATCAGCCTAGATCTAACTTGTTTTATTGACTAATTTCATAGAAAGCAATGTTTCTAAGTTTTTAGACAACCAAATCAAATTCTTCCATTCATTGTAATAGGAGTCAACCTAATTTAAATGTGTTTGAAATTTTGTCAAAAATGCACACCAAGTTTACAACATTTTGTTAGGCACATTTCCTTGTGAAGAATTCAGGATCACATCATTCCGAATTCACTATTAGAGTGGTGTAAGCTAGAAGGATACTTGGTTATGCAATGAGTAGAATTATTTATGAACGTCATTTGCCTAAAAACGATAAAATTAAAGGATATTTGATGAACAGAGATATTGTATAGCCCAAGAAAAATGAATAAAGATATTTATCAATATCATTTGCATATGCAGGCTCGACCAATTCTTCGAGATAAGGACAGGCTCGAACAGCTTGCTGATCCAAGGCTCAGTGGTAAATACCCAAAAGAGGATTTTATGAGAGTTTGCACTATCGCAGCAGCTTGTGTGGCCCCTGAGGCAAACCAGCGCCCCACTATGGGAGAAGTTGTGCAATCACTAAAAATGGTGCAAAGAGTCACAGAATATCAAGATACCTTAACAACATCTAACCGACCCAATATTAGACAATCATCTACTACATATGAATCTGATGGGACCTCTTCCATGTTCTCTTCTGGCCCTTTCTCTGGTCTTAGTGCCTTTGATAATGACGCCATTTCTCGAAATGCGGTGTTCTCGGAAGACTTACAAGAAGGACGGTAATTTTCAAAGGTATGTTTAGGAGTTCCATGTATTAGTTAGGGACAAAAATCAGTGGATTGTACCTGGAAAGTCTGCATAGACCATGAATTTTGGGCCTGCATGTTGTCTGGAAACTTGAAATATATTGGTTTGTTATTGAAACTCCTACAAACTTGGGCTCCGACTCACCCAAATCAGTCAGACCTGGCAACCTACTGGGTCTGGATGAGCCCAAACTGGTGGCCTCGCGCTAATATCCTTAGCTGCGTGAGTTACTTTGAGGCTGTGACAAGTCTGATGTTTGTCAATATGAACTGTTTACACTTGGTGGAAACAAAGTGATATTTTATTTTTGGCCAGAGGGGGAAGAGGGTCAGGGGTATTAAGGCCTCAAAAAGAGGGTTTATGGCTATTTTGCAGTCCTTTTATCATTTTATTGCGTCCGATTTCCCCCAAAAAATTCAAAGCAAAACGTACTTGAAAGATTTTGAATTGGTGGCCTTGAATTTGTCAAAGATTTTGCAAACCTCAGATCAAGTGGATCTGAATTCCAACCCAATGATATATTCAGTGAGGATTGAGGATTGGTCTAATGTGGCAAGTGATTAGCGTCCTATTTCTCCATTTTCAAGTTTTGCTGGAAGTGACTGCACTTGTATGATAGCTAGCTTTAGATCTGGTTTATTTTCTTCAAAAAACTCTAGATCTACACATATCTAGTTTTTTTTTTTTTTCAATAGATCTGGTTTTCTTCTGTGGAACAACAGCTGGATCATCTAATTCTTTTGCAAATATTTACTTTTTGGGAATATAGAATTTATCTTTAAAAATAAGAAAATGCCATGAATAATGATTTTAACATGCAATCTACTTGTGATATCGTTTTTGTAGAGTAATTCGTTTTCCCAAGTTTTTCCTTATTTCTTTCCAAAATTTATATTATTTTTTTCCTTTGTTTTTAGGTGACCCAGGCCAACTGGAGCCAGTTTGGGCCCTCCTAGTTCTGTACCCAGTTTTGAATTTTAAATTGCTGATCTGGACAGTGCTTGGGTCGCTTATTTACTTGTTTTAAATGATTATTTACTTACACAACTGAAGGTAAAAAGGTAAAATGATCAGGGGTAAGCGAAGTATGATTAAAAGATTATTGGGTCCAGTTACTGTCTTGGTATTTCAAGTTTCTCTGTCAGCTACATGTTTTTCGGTGAGTTTCCACTAACTGCATGCTTTATGCAGGTGTTTTGGATACTTTCCAGATATTCCGATATTTTTTTTCTTGTTATTTGGAGATGGACAAAATTTGGGTAGGAATGGGTGCCAAGTTGGGTTTATATATCTACATTGACAGAACGAGTGCTATGCAATTTGAGCTGAACCTCAGAGAATCAAACTTTGGACCACTCTTAGCCATTCAGAGTTCCGAGATTCGTGCATCAATTGATTGCGTGTGGCACCAGCTGCAGTTACAGTAAAGCCATGGAAAATTGTAATATGAAGACAATGGTGTTTATTTTGTAATCAGGCAGCCAAAATTGGAGTGTGTCTATGTATTTTATTGGTTTCTTTGTTTTTTTTGGTTTTGATTTGTTTTCTGTTGGTCTCAGGGGAATTCTGTTTCCCAATTTAAATTTTGCAGTTTTTTTCAGGTTTCTCCATTGAAATGTATTTATGCGGTTTTTAAAGTCCTGGTTTGGATTGGGAATGTATTTTTTTAGTGGTGGAGTGGTGGTGGTTTCATTTTTAGCAGCTCGATTTGGTCCCCCTCCTCCCTCCTCTTTTTTATCTCATTTATTAATTTACTTATTTATTTTGCTGAGATTAAATTGGAAACTCGTGTTCTGGGGCATGCATCAGACACTCCCAAACCATGTCTCTCTCAGGGACTTGCAAACCGTCTTTTACTCTCTCTCTCCTCTCTCTCTCTCTCTCTCTCTAAACCACACCCAAGAGAACAAGCATCTCACTCTCTCCAACACATTTATCGTTTGTGAAAGAGACATTGTTTCCTGAGAATACTTTACCTTTACCGTGCAATAAACGCAGTGTCTTTCTCATTATTATAATGAGGTCACCCACCATTAGTCAACAGACTCAATAATAGTTCAGAGACATTTTGCGGCCACATAAATAAGATAAATAAAACACACAACTCCTTTATTCTTTACACCTCACCTCTGGGGAGAAGAGAGATGGAGAGAAGGGTAGGAGTCGCCATTGATTTCTCTAGATGCAGCAAGACAGCCTTGAAATGGGGGTTGGAAAATCTAGTGAGGGATGGGGATCACCTTATTCTCATCAACGTTCAGCCATCTCTTCGGTACGAGGGAGGAGAGATGCAACTTTGGGAGGCCACTGGTTCACGTAACTCTCTATCTCTAAAAACTCTGGATTTTGTACACAACTCAAGGTCTCTTTTGAGTGCTTCAATACTACACGTACTCGAAAAAGTTTTCAAATATTGATTCATTTTAGTTATTTCATACTTCTACTGCTTGAATCTCATGATCTACAAATTCCATAATTAAAGAATATTCCACATACTAATGATGCCTGCGTTATGCTGCATATCAAACAACCAGAAAAACTGAAAACATGTTTCCTTCTTTAATCTATTTATGCAATAAACAGATCGATCTTGAGTGAGAAATCCACTTGCGTTATATTACTTTTTTTTTTGCTATATGAATCTCCTTGTGCAGCTTTCATTCCCCTCGGTGATTTTTCGGATCCGGCAATTGCCAAGAAATATGGTGTTAAACCCGATGCCGAAACTCTGGATTTGCTCAATTGTGTTGCCAGACAAAAGGAGGTAAAATTCTATCCCTCGAAATTTACCAGTTCTACATTCAAAACATTTATGAAAGAAAATATATTTTTAATTAATGGAAAACTAATTTATTTCTGCAGATTACAATCTTAATGAATGTTTATTGGGGTGACCCTCGCGAAAAAATCTGCGAAGCTGTCGAGAAAATCCCCTTGAGTTACCTCATAATTGGAAACCGAGGCCTCGGAAAAATCAAGAGGTTAAAATTTTATAATGCTATTTTACTGTGATCTATTTATTCCTTGTTTTTTTGTTTTTTGGGTATTTATTTGATTATTTGTTCATTTCCAGGGCTATTATCGGCAGCGTTAGCAGCTATGTGGTGAACCATGCTCTATGTCCTGTCACGGTGGTTAAAGACCACCATCCTTAAGCTTGTTCTTAAGGCCTCGTTTGGTTCATCAGATATCTGTGTGTGTGGGATATCTCCGAGGAATCGGCTTTGTTTCTTCTTGGGTATGAAGCCGCTTTCTCATGAGCCAGCGGGCGTTTCCCATGTTTGCGGTGTTGCCTCGTGGGGATTTCCGGAGAGAGATTTCCCACGAACCGAATGTGAGAACTCGGCTTGATCAATGGAAATCTCCTTCCTGAATAGAGATTTCTGATAAACCAAGCGTGCCCTTAACCACTCTCTTTTATCTTCTGCTTAGACTGAATTACTCTTTTAATCTGTATCTTGGACTTGCTTTCCTTGTTTTATTATCGCTTTGCTTCTTGCATTGCTGGGTGTCACTTTTTCATGGTCCTTTGGTTTTAGGGTGCGGTTTTTATCGGGTTTAACTTTAAACAATCCAATTAAGGTGCACCTTAAAATTTTGTCAATAACATGTAATTTTGTTATAAAAAATTCTTAGTATTATCTTAAAATCTAAGTTCATACTTAATTAGACAATTTTAAAATTCTAAAAATGGTTAAAATCAAGTACGTTTATAAATATATGAAAATCTTGAAAATGGACGGTCTAGATAATGTGTTGTAAGATGCACTATTTCCTAGACTCAATAACTTTTTTTTTACATAGTCATACATCTCAATGTCGAGATGATCAATTAGAGAGTTTTTTCAACATTAAAACAACATTTCCGATAGATTTTTGAGGTGCATATGTGATTCTACATTTTAAGGTTTCAACTTTATATAAACTTTTCCTTGTTTTTATGCTTTGCACTCTACACAATGGTCCTTTGTTTTTATGCGTTGCACTCTACACAATGATTGAGAGCCCCTACTGTTCTTTTCTTTTTCTTTAATTTTGTTTCGTCATTCATCTAAGCTTATCGCAACCATAGTTGGCAAATTAGGGAATAATAATATATCGGCGAACCAAAACATCAATAATGAATTGGTTTTGTTCAAATAGTCGAAGAAAAAAATTGGGTAAAAAATATAGATCGCCAAAAAATAAAGTTATATAATTGTGAATATTTCGAATTTGTCTTAAAAAAAAAGGGTAAAAAAATTGGATATGTAAATATTACATAATATAAGATTATGATTTGTAGTTATTATGTAGATACATTTAAGTCATTGAACAATAATTTTATGGCCATACCTAGTGTCGTGAAAGTAATACTTGACAATTTGTTGTCTAAACTTTCAATAATCCGTCAACAATGCTTGTTCTGTTGTTACAACACAAAACATATTACATATTATTCGGAGCAAAAAATGAAACAATAATAATAATACTTAACACAAGAACTATATTAGGAAATAACAAGAATTGTAAACCAACATATATGAATATGGAAAAGGTTTCTATACTTCCCCTAAAGCATAGAAGATCTATGCTTGCCTTACCATCCAGCCGTCCAATTTTGATCTAGTGAGCCACTCACTGTTTGATCTTAGATCTGACGCCTCAGAGTATTTTATTTTTAATTTTTGTTATACAAATTGTACGAATATAAAATTTGGTACGTGTCATTTCTCGTTGGGGCACACCTATAAAAAATATTAAAAATAATTTTTTGATAAAATATAATGACCAAAATACCTTTTGAAAATTTTAGGGGTATTTTGGTTATTTTATTTTATTGGAAATATATTTTTAATATTTTTAACAAGTGCATGTTTAATAGATGATTGAACGCCCAAAATTTGGTGTGAAAATAATTTATATAAAAAATATTTAAAATAAAATAATGTAGAGACGTGACATTATGATTGGGGCAATCTTAGCCCACCATTCAGAATGGACGGTTCGATGAGGAGAAGTATGCAAGTTTTATGTTGTAGGGGAAGCATAAAAAGCTTGCTCTATGATTATTACTCAAAGAAGAAAAATACAAAAAAGACATTTAGTATGGGATTGTAGTTAACTAAAACAAAACACAAAGATCCAAATATGTAAAATAGTTGTCCATCCAAAATGCTATATAGTATACACAAATGAAATAAAAAGTAAAAATATGCAATGAATCAAATTCATGTATGTGTAAAGAAAGCAACAAAATGCTCAAGCAAATTCGAGACTCGAATTCTTAGCTTTGTGTTAAAAAAAAAAAAAAGATTTTTCATTGTGTTTCTATGCTTGTTATTTTGAGACATATTATTGCTTTGGTATCTTAGTTTTTTGAGAATACATTGCTTGTATTTTTTCGTGTACCTTTTTTAAGGGGAACTTATTGGTATTACTATAAATCAAGATTCTTAATTTATACCCATCGTTAATGTGCTTATCTTTAAACTACAATTGGATAATATTAAGTTAATAAAGAAAAAAAGTTATAGGAAAGAAGTTTCTTGAAAAGTTTATTTGAAAAAAAGATAAAATACGGACTATATCAATTCCATTAAAAAATGTTATTTTTTGAAGATCTCATGAAAAATTTTGAATTTTTAACGGATTTCAAAAGCTTAGATATTTTAAACCGAGACTTGCTAACTATGATCCCAACTACTTGGGGGTTGGCTACATGAATTCTCTTTCACCATTCCTCTCTATCAAGAGCTATACCTTCAATCCGACCATAAGTTACCATCCTACAAAGTGCTACATGTTGCAATATTACCCTACAAGGTATGGACGGTGGAGGAGAGTGGGTCCCTCATGACCATGCTGTTTTGATAACCATTTGGATCATACTATATCAATGGTCTTTGTACCATAGTCTGGAGCACATAGCATTAGCATCTTAATCTTTCATCAAAAAGTGGTATTTATGGATGACAGTGACCATCCACTGGGTTGTTGGATTTGGTGCTATTCAAAATCACCCGTAACAAAATCCTATATTAGCTACGATTAGGATATTCTCAAATTATATGAGATTAAGATATTTTCATATTATGTGGAACTGAGATATTTCCTTACGGGAGAAAGAGCTTTTTAGAGAGAGAATCATTGTATTGATGCTTTTTGTAGATTTTGAAAAGAGAGAATGTGTGCCCTAGTTGGGTCATCATATGGGAATTGTAGTTTATTCTAGAGAGTCTGCTTAAGATACAAATTTTTCTTGAGAAAAGAGAGTTTACTTTGAAAAGAAACATTGTGATGGTGCCTCTTGATCTCAAATATAACAGCTAAAGATAATCATGATTTCATTTGCTAACTACAAATAGTAAATGATCTTTTCATATGTTGTTACAGTGAATAGAGATGACTAGAGAAATCATGGTGATCCCTTTTGAAACACATTATTTTTAGTATTTTTTAATAGTATGCACAGAAAACATATCCTTGTTTCTTATTAAGGAGTTTACTTCCGATTAACAATTTTGATAAAGCATACTACCAATTAACAAGCTAAGTACTTCACCGCAAAAAAAAAAAAAAAAAATAACTATCTAAGTAGCTATGATATAGCTTTTGGGCTTACTTGGATGAGAAACCGTTTTATCAAAACCTATTAACCTAGAAAAAGGGCCCGGGCTTAAGTGATTAGTGTTTGGCGATTTGCAAAAGCTATGTCCTAGGCTCAATTTCTACAAAGAGTAGGGACCCTCTCCCCACTGACTCATCCAACATAAAAATAAAAAAAATATGATCCTATCTAAAATTATTGTATTCTACATGGTACGTACCATGTATTAAAAACATTTCAAAAACTTAAACGTATATGTGAAATAGCCTATAAGTTTATCTCCAATGGACATTACCAAACAACAAACAACTCACTATAATGATCAGTTTTAAACTAAAGTTTATCTCATTTTTTTAGAATTTAAACTAATCTATATATTTTATATTTCATAATGAAGTCCTACTTTTTTTATGGCATAAAAGTGTATTTTAATTATAATTTTTTTTTCTATTCTTAGATTAAAGTAAAATTTGTTATGTCTTTGCTTTTTACCATAATACACCAATAAAAATTTAAAACATACTTTAGAAATAATAACAGCCAAAACAACCCTAGCATTTATGGTAATTTGGTAATTTTTATTTAGTTAAATTATTTTAAAATATTTCATAGGTATGTGATAATGATAAGTATGGAAATATCAATTTGAACTTAATTTGAAGTACATATATAAATATGAAATTAAGATTCATTTTATACTTTGAAAAAGTGGGATTTGAATGTTAAATATGAAATATATTGAACTAATTTTAAATTTAAAAAATACTATAAGATTTTTTTGTAAATTCCCATTGATTTTATTTGGACAGTAGAATATGAGTGATAAGAGTACCCCAATAATACACTGGTTCAAAGAAAGAGAAAAGGCCACATTCAAAAAAAAAAAAGAGAAAAGGCTTTGTAAAAAAAAAAAAAAAGAAAGAGAAAAAGTACTCAGCCTTTCATCTTGAGCCAACCTCAAGATAATAACCAATATCCTAGGACTCGAAGAAGCCTTTGACTCGGACTGGAACCTAGGATAAATCATCCTAAATCACTAAACACCCTGAAAACTAGGGTTTTGTATGTGGCCTTTAAAAGAGAGAGGACAACGTGACTGTGCATAACCAACAAACCCAAAAGGAAAACCCTAAAAATAACTGCAAACGGTTGCTCACCCCTATTCCTAAGCCAAACCAACTTTCCTAATGGAAACAAACGTCATAGAACCAACCCCTTCCGCCTCATGCACTCTTCATAACCTTCCCCTCCCCTTTCCCCCTCTCTCTTTCTCTCTTTCTCTCCTTCGGAGCCCAGCCCATAAGAGAAAGAGACAGTAGGGCATCATGGGTCACCACCACTCCTCCTCCTTCCTCTCTCTGTCTCTCCTCCTCATCATCCAGTCTGCGGCCGCCACATGCCGGCTGCGCAATCACACGGTAACCCTCGCAACCCCTCACCCCACAATTACCACTCCTACTCCTACCCCTATCCCCGCCCCCACAATTACCACTCCTACTCCCATCCCCAGCCCCAGCCCCGCCCCTGGCCCCTCCGGCAAGGCCACGGCCCCCGTTTCTTCTGGCCCGGGGGTCGGCTCTATAGGATCAATATGCAAACACACAGATTACCCAGACGTATGCCTGCGGTCGATCCTACCATACCTAGAAGCCAATGGAGGGCTCCCATTGGACCCTGCCACTGCCTTCCATGCGGAGGTGATCGCCTGTCAAACAGAAGCCAAGGTAGCCAAGTCTATAGCTGCTAAGATGGCAGCGGACCCGACCACCTCCTCGGACACAGTCGAGTGCTTACAGATTTGCATTGAGAATTACGACGATGCACTCGATAACATCGACAAAGCCGTGGCCGCCCTTGCAAAGAAGGACTTGGGCACTGTGAATACCATGCTCAGCGCCGCTCTCACGGATTTTAGCACCTGCGACGATGCCTTTGGTGAGTTGCCGGCCACGGACTCGCCCATGGCTTCTTATGATGACAAGCTTAACAAGTTGAGTAGCAACTTGTTGGCCATTGTTCAAGACCTTCTCATGTGATTAGGGACCATCCCGCTTGTTTTTAATGTCAACTTTCTTTCTTTCTTTCTTTCTTTCTAAAGAAAGGTAATGTGATTAGGGACCATCCCACTTGTTTTTAATGTCAACTTTCTTTCTTTCTAAAGAAAGGTAAGAAATATTTTCGTGAGGTGATAAAACATTTGGATTCTCAATAAATGAGGCCTTGGTCCGGCTTCTAACCATTTTTGTTGGGACTCCCATGTCCGTGCTCGTTAGAACCTCCCTTTTTATTAAGAGCGCTCACAATAGGGTCGAGTCGGGTCGGGTTGATTTCATCCACCAATTGCTAGACCTGATCGGCCTGCGGGTCCAGATCTGTCCCCCCCACGCCCCACGTTGGCTACAAGTCTATTTTTCTTGGACCCGACTCGAGTGTAATCCGGATTACGGTTGAGGCAAACCCAATATTATATGTTCAATTTATATTTTTCTTATCTAGACCATGACACCTCCAAAACTTCGTGGGTAGGGTCTAGGTCCAATGAGATGGACTTGATGCATCACGTTCGTGTATGGCGATGATCCATTGGCTATAGTTCGTCATTATTTATTGGATTAAGATTAATGGATATTAGAGAAAATATGAAAAGCTATGTGACATGATCGGCTTGTCTATATATTATAGTTATGGTCGAATACCTATAATGGATTTGTCATATAATGTCCTTTTTCAAGTTTGAATAACTATAATGGATTTGTTATAGGGTGTTGTATCTATAACCCTAAACAATCCAACTAAGGTGCACCTCCAAATTTTATCATAATATGTAATTTTGGTGAACAAAATTCTTAGGATTATCTCAAAATATATTTTCATATCTAATTATAAAATTTTAAAACTCCAAAAATGGTTAAAATCAAGTAGATCTATAAACATACGAAAATCTTGAAAACAGACGGTCTAGATAATGTATTGCAAGATACACTATTTTTGAGACTCAAAATCTTTTTGTTTTTTTTTTTTCATATTCATACATCTTTATGTCGAGATGATCAGTTAGAGGGTTTTTCAACATTAAAATAACCTTTTATGTCGAGATGATCAGATAGAGGGTTTTTCAACATTAAAATAACCTTTTCCAATGGAATTTTTAGATGCTTATGTAATTCTCCATTTTAAGGTTGCAACCTTGTATAAACTTTTTCCTTTGTTATATAATGGATTTTCAAGTTTTGGGTTTCTATAATAAATTTGTTATATACTGCTCTATTGGTCAAATTCGGCTTGAAGTTTAGTCCAAAATTCTTAAGTAACATTTAAAGTTAAAATATTTTTTGGGTGAGTATTTAAAGTTAAAATACTGAACAAAGGAAAAGTGGTTTATGCTCCGTGGGATGCATAATTAGATTTGCATCCGCCGAAGCATCACACATATCTATCTTACACATTAATGTGGAGTTGTGGCGTCTCTGAAAAAGTGCAAAAAAGACATTTAAAAATTTCTTTAAAAAATTAAACATTTTTAGCGTTTAAAATTTATTTATTTTGACACATTCATGGTCCCTAAGTCAGATATTACATATAGAAGAGGTTTATATGAGGTCGACATCTTATATTGTAGAATTAAGGTGCACCTCAAAAATCCATCGGAAAAGGATGTTTGGACTTTGGAAAACCGCCTAATTGATCATCTTGATGTCGAATTATATGGATATGGGAAAAAAAAAAAGATTTCACTTCTCAAAACAATACATCTTGAAACACATTATCTGGACTGTCCATTTTCAAGATTTTTATACGTTTATAGATCTACCTTATTTAAACTATTTTTAGAGTTTAAAATTCTATACTTATAATTTGTGAGGTGCATATACTTTGATTATTTAACGTTGCAACCTTATGCAAACCACACCCATTATACATACCTAATAATTAGGTCCCAAATCCATTTAAAAAATTGATCGTAAAGAGGGAATTCATATCTACACATGAGTAGTAGGACTCGTAAAAATCGAATCCTTGAATAAATGACTAAATTTAATCAAACTCAAAGCAACTATCCTGGCGTATGTAATTGACACAAATGTCAAATGTTTGACCTAATTTGACAGAGGAGCATTGGGCAATTTTAGGCAGACTATCAAATCTGGGTAATTTTAGTGGTCTTGCATTATATGCAATTGCTTCTAAAGTAGGGTCTCAACCAAATCTATGGATAATCATGGATTTACTGCAATTATGATCGTCACAATTTTAAAAGGGCAGGGAACTATTTTTGCAGTGATAGGTTTAATGCAATTGTGGTGTATTCTGGCAGGCAATCTTGTTTTATATTTACAGTCATAGGTTTAATGCACTTGTGTTTTATTTAGGTGGGCCATCTTGGTGTATATTGTGGGATGAACTTCCTTTTGTTTGGGCTAATTTTTGGAATGATATTATCAACAAAGTCACGGGTTCTTAAATGTGTTAAACTTGTTTTATTCAAATTTCTAGTTCCAATACATATCCCCAAGATGAAATAAGCTAAAATAAAGTGGAATTTGGGACCTACCATCATTTTGTCAATATTTGATGTCTTTCATACTCCTACCCAAATACACTGCCGACTTGTTCCCTCAAGTAAAACCCAAACTAGGATTCATTTTAGGACTCCAAATTTTAGAGATGGAACTTACTCAACTCATAAATTAACCCCGATAAAGGAATTTCTAAATTACACTCTTTCTGTATTTGAAAAAATAATAATGTCTCAAGATTTAACAGAGACCATTCAATTGAGATCTAAGTGTTTGAAAACTCAATGTCAAATTTTTTTTTTTTTTTTTGGAAAACAGTCATCTAATGATTCTTAGGTGTTCCCGAAACTTCAAGTTTAAAAATCCTCTCCGAACAGCTCATTTGAGCGAGGGAGGAGTTGTACAATATGCTCCTACAGCAAGTAAACGTGGTCTATTTGATTAATGGGTTTGGAATCTTAAAAATTTCCTTGCGTTTCACCCAAGGGAGCAAATCCACAACCTGCTCCATCGGGATTATTAAATCAATTAGGATTGTATAATATTGCAGAAAGAAAGAGGTCACAAGGCTTAAAATAAAAGAAAAGAGGGCACAATTATGGTGGATGCTTTAGGAAGTGCCTGTCCATTATTAGCGTATACAATCTTATTATAGAGAGGGGTGGCGAATATTCAGCAAATGTTTTTACAAATGGCGGAAAACTTATTAATTTACCATCCCTGATAAGAAGACCCACTACTGCCCTTTCTTTCTTTCTTAGGGCAAAACCAGAATTGGAGTTTCATACTTGTGCACCTCTACCTCTATATAAACACCTCATTCTCATCCCTCCTTCCCCTCACAAGTTTCTCTCTCTCTCGGTCCAATACCCATTACTGAGACAGAGATGGCTCCCCAAATTTGCCACCATCCTCTCCTATGTCTCTCTCTCCTCATTCTGCATTTTGTTGCAGCCATGTCAAGACCCAATTGTCTTTCCGCCGATTGCCTTTCCACCTCCTCCGCCCCTAACGCTGATGAGCCGCTTCCCGAGTCCGTGTGCTCCGCCGAGTCTGTGTGCCAGAAAACTGATTTTCCCGAACTTTGCTCAGCATCTGTCCAGCCTTTCATGCCTTCCAAAGGTTCTTGTGATGCAGCCACAGTTCTCGGTGCTGAGGTGAAAGCATCCGTGCAAAAGGTGGTCATGGCTCAATCTTTGGTAAAAGATTTCTTTAAAGACCCTAAGTCCTTCTTTACCATTTTTGAGAGCTTAAAAATTTGCATCACTAGTTATCTGGATGCCTTTGGACACCTCAAGGAAATATTGGATGACATCTCAGACAAGCAGTACTTCAAGTTGATTGAACCAGTGAGTGAAGTCCTGAAGGACTACCAAAGGTGCAGAGATGCATTTAGCGAGGATGGGGTCACACCGTTGGGTGACATGAATGATGAGCTGCACAAGTTGGCCACCAATTGCCTTGCAATTGCTAAAGAGATTCGACCTTGATTTTCCTTCTAATTTCCTACCACTCCTTTTTTTCCATTGTAGGATTTCCTACTTTGTTGTTTAGTGTGGATGGATTTGTGGTTGGCGATAAATGGTAGTATATAATCTACTCAAAATGACAATAAAATAGCAATATCAACAACTTTTTTCTTCTTTTTTTTTTTATCAACATTATTCCAACTCAAAATTGCTTTAGGATTGAAAAAACCCCAAATTGCTATGCTTTTTTTGTCTTTGTTTTTGAGCTTCCTTATTTATTTATTTTTAAATTATTTTAATTTCTTTATTAACTATACGCCAATCCAATCCGGCTCAGGCTCAGGCTCAGGCTCAGAAATTCGGACTGTAGTGTGCCATCTTTGTCAATCCTCTATTATACTGGCTTCAAGAGAAAGTATACTTTATTGGAGCGTGCCACATATAAAGTGCCTTTTCCTGGCCGTTCTCAATTGGTGTAATCATTGAAGGGAAGCATATTGTAGCGTGAGTGCCATGGTTTTCCATCATCTATTCATCGATGAATGGAGATGAAGCAACGGCTGATCTCCACCATTATTCTTGTTGGAAGTGGACTACCTTGTGTCGTGTGTTTCATGTACTTGCTCTTTCGAACGATATGATATTTTTGAGTTTTATTCCTATAAAAGATAAGGGATTTTTTCACCGCTGAACTCATTATCATCATCATCATTATCAGAGCTTTATCCCAACTATGTTGGTCAGCTACATGAATTTTGTTTCCCATTCTGCTCTGTCCAGGGTTTTACTCTCAATAAGATCATAAGCCCCTTGTTTATTTTCTCACTATTTTCATTCATGTAATTTTGAGCATTCACTTTGCCTTTTATAACCTTCCCATTGAACCAAACCGTTATTTTTAACTAGTGTTGTATTGGATGGACCACCTAAGTCTACTTTGATCATCTTATGACTTATTGAAATCATATTTAAGTTCTCTCGAATGTATTTATTTCAAATTATATCGTTTTTTTATCTTACCACTCATCCATCTCAAGATCGTCATATAGAATGTATGGAGCAATCACAAAAAAACTCTGAATGCACATCTATTTACCTATTGAATTGCACAAAAAAAAATAAAAATAAAAATACGATGATGAGCATATAAAGACGGCATTCTGTCCATCCTAACGAATAACATATCTTCAAGAATGACATGTGGAGATGAACTATTCTTCTTCAACTCTTGATTCTTGCATGTCATACAAGTATTGAACTTTAAGGTTTCAAATATGGAAACAAATCATATAAGGTTGCAACTTTAAAATGTAGAATTAAGGTGCCCCTCAAAAATATGTGGGAAAGAGTTGTTTTAATGTTGAAAAATATTTTAATTAATCATTTTTTACATTGAAATGCATGAATGTGAAAAAACAATTGAACCTCAGAAATAGTGCATCTTGCAATACATTATCTAGACCGTCTATTTTTAAGATTTTCATATATTTATAGATCTACTTGATTTGAACTATTTTTGGAGTTTAAATTTTTTTAATTAGAAATGAAAATAGATTTTTAGATAATCCTAAGAATTTTTTACACCAAAATTACATGTTATGATAAAATTTGGAGGAGTGCCTTAATTGGATCGTTAAATATCGCAACCTTATGCAAACCACACCATTCAAATTTTCTAACGAATGATAATTGTAGTATATTGAAATATTCAATTTTGGAGATTCCGCCGCGTTGAGTTTAGCTATAGGAAAGTATATAAAAGATCATTTACCTTTGGTACAACATGGTCATAATTAATCTTGACCATTGGATGTGAATTTCGGTGGTTGTATTTATTTCATTGACCAAATTCAAAGTTCAAAAGAAATTTTCTCGAACTTTGTGATACACCCAAGCTATAAGATTTCATATCAAACGGTTGTAAGTAATTGTGACCTTTGTGTACCAAAGGTAAATAGTCTCATTGTATACAATCCCTTTAACTATTCAGCCTCTATTGAATTACATTTCGCCCTTTAACTATTGAAAAAAAAAAAAAAAGATGACTTATGTATACCAAAGGTAAATGGTCTCATTGTATACAATCCCTTTAACTATTCTGACTCTATCAAATTATATTTCGCCATTTAACTATTGAAAAAAAACAACAGACGAAGTTTCTATAGGGCCTAGGCTTTATGATAACAAAATAAAGCCTCACCTCAAATCCTCGTCTAAAAAGTACTTTCAGCAATCAAAAATTCCATAATGGATCCAAATAAGTTTTCAACACCGATTATAAAATTTGAAAATAAAAAAATGGTATGGTTCTTTTGGATCGATTAACACTTAATTTTAGGGTGAAATAAACAGTCTCGATAATTTATTACAATATACACAATTTTTAGAGCTTAAAATCCTAATTTTTTATAACTAATATGTTCAAGCCGAGATGATCAATGTAAAGGTTTTCCAATACTTAAATTATTATTTTTGATGAATTATTAGGTGAGGCTTTATTTGTTTTGATATACAGCCCAACCAAAACAATTTCTTTTCCAAAAAAAAAAAAAAAGCTGTGCATAGTACGTCATATACAGATGTCATTTTGTCATCCTCAGGAATAAAACGTGGAGATGAACTATACTTTAACTCTTGGTTAGTATACAAGGGATTGAAGTTTCAAAATTTCAAATGCGTGCCAATTGTACTCGGTATTGGTTTGCATAAGGTTAAACCTTTAAAGTTTAAACAATTAAAGTAAGGCGCACCTCCAAATTTTATGGTAAGATATATTTTTGGTGTCAAAGTTTTTTGAATAGCGCAAAATTATATTTTTATCTCTAATAACAAAATTTTAAACTTAAAAAATGGTTCAAATCAAACATGTCTATAAATAAATAAAAATCTTGAAAATGGATGGTCCAAATAATTTGTCTCAAAGTGGATTATTTTTTAGACAGAAATCTTTCTTTTCTTCATTTTCATACATTTGATGTCTGAGGTGATCAAATTAGATGTTTTTTCAACATCAAAAAATCCTTTTTCAAGAGATTTTTGATGTGCACCTTACATGTGCGCTTTAGATGTAAACATCATATAAACTTTCCTTTACTAGAAATATTAAATGTGGGAGATTTCCAACGCATTGAGTTTATTTTGGCTCAATTAAATTTTAAGAGATTTATCCTCTCTGGTCGATGTAACCAACTTACATCAAAACTTCAATTTCCTCCTCTATCGAAATACCTTCCTCCTCATAACTGTGATCAAAATAAAGTCTCCTCAAAATCAAAATATAAATGATCTTCAGCACGGAGGTCACACCTATATTTAATAATGAAGTTTGGGTTCGAAATAGCGCTTAATGATCAACATTTCGAAGGGACCATACAGTCAAAAAGGGAAAATTTTGAGCTTTTCTAAATTTCGATTGGCCATTTGCTTCAACAACAAACCCAAAGACGCTCTAACCATGTTTGGCGATTAAGTACCTTCGACTTGGGAAATTCAATATTGCAATTGGATGTGACAATCTCACCGAGGGTATGATCTTTGATAGAGCATAATAGCCGACCAAAATTCATATAATCGATTCCAAATAATTGAAAAAAAAACGATGACGATGATGATATCAATATGAATTGGGTGTGACAAGATACCCCCAAGGTACACTTAAACCTAGTGAAAATTTTTGAAGTCTTTGCAAGCTATAATATATTAATAGAAGTCCCAAGAATCAGACATCCTTTTGATTTAGTATCTACTTTGACTTGGCTTGGGTTAGGTTAGGTTTCAATTAGAAATGAAGGGCATGAAAATTGATGGAGATGTCAAAAAAAAAAAGGTGGTCTTCACTTAATCGTGGTAAAAAATTGTCATTATCAGTTGATCACAATCAAAACAAGTACTCGGCTAAGCGTCGTGAGTTTCGAATGGCAGCAGAAACAATGGAAGATATGTGGAAAGCATATAGCAACACACAAAAAGAAAAAACTTAACTGGGGTTTCTGGTTTCTCTATAGATAGTTTTTTTGAGGGCTCAACTGCAATGAAAAAGTTTGGCCAACAAAATGAAAAGATTTTGAACCTAACTCAAACCTCAGCAATGGTGCAGCTAGCAGCAAGCATTCACATAAATTGAGCACACAAAATGCTCCAAGTCTCTCATTGTCAAATACCTAACCAGGGGATTCTAAGACTTGAAATTCAGATTCACCATCAATATCAAAATGAAATTGCATTTCAGCTCAAAATTCCTATTCTAAATTTTTAATCAGTTTGGGGGAAGGGAAAGTATGGTAGCTGACGAGAACGGTTCGGACCCAAAAACACTGAAGGGCAAGGCCGGGCTCGATCCATCCTATATGAATATTAAAGAACATAATTAATACATGTAGTATATACTTAAAAGAATTTGAGCCATGACAAGTCTAGTGCAGGCCAAGCTTTAGAAAGTTAGTTCATACCGAGCCCAGTCCAGGTCTAGCTCGCGGACTATAATGTGTGGCCTAACTCATACATTAAAAGAAATTTTAAAAACATCACTTGTATAGAATTATTACCACGCTGATTAGGGAAGTAGGAACCCCCAAATTGGGAACTCTCCTGGATGGAAGTAGGAACCCCCAAATTGGGAACTCTCCAGGATAATGTACTTAACTAGCTAGAAATACAATCAGTGTGAATATGAGTCATAATACGAGCAAAAACAATAAAGTATTTTACATGCTTCGTTCTAAAAGGGCATCATCGACAGGCATGGCAAACTAAAATCTACAGTATCGATGAGAGTATCACAGATTTTGGGATAAAAAAGGCATCTTTCTAACCATCTATAATATTGTACGCCGAAGCTCCAAAAATCTGATGGGACTGATATTTGGCAAATAAAAAGTAAGAAAAATAAAGCAGGAAATAAATAATGCAAAAAGAACATCAATATTTTACATGGTTTACTCCAAAAGGCTATATACATGTAAATAACAAGCTGAAATCTACTATACCAATGAAAGTTACATCAAAGAGTTTAAGATACCAAA